ATATTTGAATCAACCTCTCACATTCTATTGGGCGTCACAATTTGAAAAAAAAAAAATGAAAACTTTTAAAAGGAGAGCTCGATTCCAAAGTTTGATGGATGACCCTGTAACTATCGTTGATGCTTCTCCCACAGAGTGCTCTGCCCTTCAGTGCGCCCATCGTTGTGAAGTGGCCCAAGACACTGGGGATCTGTACTGCGCCTGCCACGAGGGGTTCAAACTTGACACGGACCAACTCAGTTGTGTGGAAGAAGGTGAGCGCCACCTCTGAGCAGATTATACAGCAGCTCATTAAACCCCACCCCCCTTTCACCTCAAACGCGTGATTATCATTTAAATTTATATATATTTATTTATATATATATATATATAAAAACCATAAAAACCATGCTCCTTTGTTTGTATGTTTGTAGATGGGTCAATCGATCAATCACAAAAAGAACCAAACAGTATAATCAAATTTGACCTGGCCATTCTTCCTGGCCTATCGATGGCTCCTGCAAAGTTTGGTCGAAATGCCCTTATTACAAAAGCTGTAATTTACAAAATAGTAAAAAGAGTAAGTTAGAGTAGATTTTAAAAATAAGAAAAAGTTTGTTTTATAGGTTTTTAAAATCTACTCTTTAACTTACTTTAATCCATTATTAGATCTTTACGTCGGGCTGAAACATTTGACAAAACATGAACATTCAAGTAATGCGCTACGGTATATCAAAAATCTCAATTTAGTGCTCCCCCGCCCCCCTCCCAAGACTCGCAACCGCACAATTTTTCACGCCCCTGAACTATATTAATATTCGAATGACCCCCACCCGCTTTTACCCATCAGATTAATGTCACCAACAATTGCAGGTTAATGTCACCAACAATTGCAGGTTAATGTCACCAACAATTGCAGGTTAATGTCGCCAACAATTGCAGGTTAATGTCACCAACAATTGCAGGTTAATGTCACCAACAATTGCAGGTTAATGTCACCAACAATTGCAGGTTAATGTCACCAACAATTGCAGGTTAATGTCACCAACAATTGCAGGTTAATGTCACCAACAATTGCAGGTTAATGTCACCAACAATTGCAGGTTAATGTCACCAACAATTGCAGGTTAATGTCACCAACAATTGCAGGTTAATGTCACCAACAATTGCAGGTTAATGTCACCAACAATTGCAGGTTAATGTCACCAACAATTGCAGGAGACAAAAACAAAGAAAGAAAACATTACGCTCCAAACGCGCTTGCAATTTTTGTAAAAAGAATTTCATTTAGTGCAGTTATTAAAATTTTATTTTAGCCGCTATTGGGATCCGGGTCCCTTTAGACTAAATCCCTATTAGGATGTCATTTGCGGTAGTTTATTTTAGTTAAACTGAAGAAGTACGTTTGCAAACACATAGTCCACCCAATTATCTTTCCATTCGATACCTCATTTGTCTTGCAAACCCAACAACAATAATTTAAATAGTCTCTTAACCCCAAACCTCTCACTTCTGATACCCGGGTGCGAATTAGCCACTTCGTATATTTCAATGCCTATCACATAATATATGTTTTTATTCACTTCATCAGAACGATAAACCGTTGTCTCAAATTTATGTTGAGAAAAACAAAAAAAAGTTTAAAGCGTGTTGACTTTACTCTGATTATAATAAAGCAGATTTGAACTAAAAAATATCAGCCTAATTTAATCACCGTTTTTTTGTGTTTTGTTTTTTTGGGGTGGGGGCAATAACACATAATAATATGTGGGGGTGAACGATGTCCCTTAGAAAGTAAGGATGATGTTTACCTTTAAAAGAGTGGTGAATTAGAGTTCTTGGTTGATAGAGTTTTGCCAACAGAGGGTTAGGGAGACGCTGCTCTTTTTTTCCACTGATTGTTACCAATGATAGTATGTAGTGTTAGAGACTGATGGTTACAATATGACAAAGATGGGGTCGATCATTGTCAGATTAGCGCGAGCGAGGGCTGCGTTAAGAAATTTCACTTTTCGGATTAACATTCCTTAGAAAAATGTCGTAGCATCCCTGCAACGAGCAATTCACCAAAATAATGAAGTCAAAATATGTTTAGGATTGATCATGTTGTGGAAATAGCCGTAGACCAGTGGCACCTAAACTGTACAGCGTGCTAACCTAACAATCCATGTCTTCAGAATACTACAGGATCTTGGTGCAGCTGGCAGTTCGGGACCAGGACCATGTGAATGATGACCTGGAGGAGATTTTGGTCAACCGACACATGGTCACCTCTCGTGTAAGTCCTTCCTTTAAACAAAAAAAAAAAAATCAACATTTTGTTTATTTATGATTTAAGTTCTAGCTTGGAAATAAAAAATAAAACTCTGGCCAGTGATAGCCTAGTGCTATTTAAAATGTCTTTAAATATTTTTATCAGCTGCTAAGCTAGTTCACGTCATCAGTCAAAATCATACTCATATTCACAGCGACCACTTTCTTGGTGTAGCTTAAATTATTAATCGTCCCGTATTGTTAATTCCTTTGTTTCATAATAGTGTTCATTAACTTGTTCATTCCTTTGTTATATATTGTTTTTATTTAACAATAATATTGTTCATTAAATTGTTCATTCCTTTGTGACATATTGTTCATTTCTTCTTTATGTATTGTTCATTTCTTCATTCCATATTATTCAATCCTTCTTTACGTATTGCTCAATCCTTCTTTACGTATTGTTCATTCCTTCATTACAAATTCTTCATTCCTTCATTACATATTCTTCATTCCTTCATTACATATTGTTCATTCTACAAACCAAGTCCTAAAACAGATTAAAATGCCAAAACCATATAATGGTACTTAACAGACATCTCTATACTAAACCAAACTACTTTAAATGTTCAGATCATACCAGTGACCAGGGGGTCCAAGCAAGAAGAACAAAAAGACATTAAAAAAAAAAAAAAAAAAAAAAAATACAGCCAAAAACGAAAAAAAAAATTTAAAAAAATAATGACAAAACCAAATAATGGTACTTAACAGACATCCCTAAACTAAACCAAACTACATTAAATGTTCAGAACATACCGCTGACCAAGGGGTCCAAACAAAAAGAAAAAAAAAACATTAAAAAAAAAAAAAAAAAAGAGAAATACGGCCAACAACGAAAAAAAAAATTTAAAAAAACTTAACGCCACAGATGGAATCAACAATTAACCTTTTTTTATATTTCTTTTTAAATATTCCTCATCCTTTAATTCCTAGCCATCAATAAAATGTAGTTCTACTTTTGGTTTCAAATGATAATTCATAAGGGTCCAATTCATATATGACGTAATGCATCCAAAATAAGGGACACGATTCACTAAGTTTTGACGATGTATTGGGATGTATGAATTGTGTAACAAATTTGTGTGTGTGTGTGGTGGTGGGGAGGTTGAGGGGGGGGGGGTTTGTCCCAAATCTGCCAGCATGACGTCATTTATCGATCTCCCCCCCCCCCTCCCCCCACCCCCCCAAAAAATGAGGCAATCCTTCTGTCAATACTTTCCCCTCAACTCTTTTTGAGGATGCATCAAGAATGTCTAACTTTTAAAAATGAAACTCACCCTTGCAGGCCCGGCACAGGTTTGAGGACGTTCTTGTGTCCATGCGGGATTTTGATCTGGACCTTATGGAGTAAGTTAAATTGCTTTTGTTTTAATGGGTTGGGTTACTTAATGCGTTTGATTGCAGGCCAGTTTGTTAGATTCAAAGGGGAGCGGGGTGAGTGGGGGAAACATGAGTGTGGGCGGTCTCCAGAGGTGGCTGCACTCTCAAAATTAAATATTCTTTGAAAAAAAAAAATTTAATTGTAAAATCCGGGAACGACGTTCGCATGCGTTCCTGCGGGACTCGAGACCTGATTCAAAGTAAGAAGAATTGATTCGAGAAACAATGCAATTGATAGTGAATAAGTTCATATTATCGAATTTCTTTTAACATATATATATTCAATATTTTTTTTTTAAATGATGTTCCCTTGGGTTATCCAGCAACGTGGAGAGAGGCGATTTGCTGTTGGGAACCAGCTTATAATCCTTGAAGAATAATCCCAGGCCATGTGGATTTCGTCCTCCGAAGCCCACTCCATCGTCACATTGTGACGGATGGATGCCAGCACAAAAAACAAACAATCAAACAAACAAACAAAAACAAACAGACGAAAGATAAGATAAGATGATAATCTTTTATTGATCCAAATGAACGGAAATGGTGTAGTTGTTTTTATACTTGCATTTTACAAATTCATTTTCAGCACATAAATAAATACATTTTAAGACACCATTTTAAGATTATAACCATTCAAGCACAAGAGATCTAAAGTATTTCTTTTACGTAGAAATCAGCGCACGATGAACTCCTCTAGTGACAATAGAAGTGACTTAACTTGGTGATCTGATAGATTTGGCAACCGCTGGGGCAACACGCTGGTAAATTCGTGCCGACAGGGGAATGAAATATGCTTTATATTTTTTTCGGTCGTAACTTTAAGAGAAATAATTCGCCCCGATCTTGGGTATCTGTAATGAAGATGGTGGGAGGAGTATTTCAATTTAAAAAAAAAAAAAAAAAAAAAAGTTTTTGGGATAACACGGATCTGGGTGAACTCCTTTAGTGGATGGTATGGTCTTAAGTTGATGCATAGTAGTTCCAAGTCGGGTGTACAAACCCCGTATTTACTGTACTGTTGTTAATGTTACAGGTCATTGTTGTTGATGTATATATTACCAACCCCCCCCCCCTCCTTTGGGTATGCCGCTAATGAATCGTGTAGTGTTTCGTCAAACCATGTTTCTGTTGGGTATACCAAAGGGCTTTCACAAAATTGATACAAATGCTTACAGTAACAATACAGTTCATCCTGGTTCTGCTTAAATTTTGTTTTTCTTCTTTCATTCATTTGTTTCAGTGAAAAAGAAATCCACTTCCACTTTTTGGTAGAAAAACGGGATCTCCTTCTGGTCAACAGTTCCATTCAAAGTCTCATTAAAAATGGCCAGTTTTTTGGTATTGCGGTCAACGAGACTGTTTTGTCACTACAAAAATCACCCGGTAGGATATTGTTCCATTTACAATATTAATCAATTTAGATAATAATATTACGTTTTTTGCACATTCGTTTGAAAAAGTCTATATGTTAAAAAAAAACAAACATTTATTACCTTACTATAGTGTCTGTGCTTTTTTTATTCATTACATTTTTTTATTTCACATTTGGGTGATTATTGTTTTTCAAAATTATATCTTACATAATAATAGTCTTAATTTCTCTTCCATTCAAATGAATGGTGAAGAGAAAACCTGTTCAAGTGACATCTTTTCAACATAAGAAGTGTGCTCCAGTGTCCAGTACTTACACCGTCTTAAGTGTGTGAAATAGCCGTCCGAAGATTGTGTCAGCCACCCACGAACAAAAGCGAAGTTCATATAAAGGATTGAAATGAATATAACCAGGGTTGTGTTGATTTCCTCGCGCTGGTTGTCCTTGTAAGCTGGAGGAGGTGTACGGTGTACCTATACACAGACGAAACTGGTTCATCGAAGCCCTCTGGTGGACACAGAATGAGTTTCTCTTCAATACTTTCTAGTTGTCATTTATTAGATGTGTGTTATGCGTCAGTCACCATTAAAAAAAAAATCCATGTGTTTGTACAGAATTGAAACTGTTGGGAGTAGAGAATCCAGACGAAGATCCGGTAAATGAGGGGAAGCTACTTACATTGACCTGCACGGCGCGGGGGTCTGAGAGTATGCAGTTTAGATGGTTCAAGGATGGAAGACCATTCAACATGACGCTAACACACAGGAACGCTTGGGAAATTCGTCTACCCGAAACCATACGAGGGAAACGCATATCGGTCTTAAATATAGATGGTGTCACCACATATGACAAAGGTAATTTTATTATGAACAAATAGTCTGAATGACTTTTGCAATTCTGATTTGATAACATTGTATTGAGACTTCATTATTCAGTCACAATTAATTGTAATGCAGCTGTTTTCTTACCATCATAGTCACTGCAAAGCACCCTGTTTTATTTTAAATATATATTTTTTTTAAATATGTTTTCATTATTTTTTTGAAATAACAAATATCAAATATTGATCAAATTTTTTTCAAATGCCTGAAAAATCAAATATTTATTAAAAAAATTTGTAATCAATAGAAATTAAAATTAAAACCTAAAGTAACTTTCATGTCACAAAGGCATTTCCCCCCATTGCTATTGCAAGTCTTTGGATGCAAATACATTTCTGGTAGTTGCAATTTCCAAATTGTTATAGAAATGGAATGTTTACACAAAAAAAAAAGAAATGTTATCATCTTAATTTTTAAAAAAAAATTAATAATAATTATTTTTTTAAAATCTATCATTGCTTTGTTAATCAGAGGCGTAGCGAAGGTCGGGCAGAGGGAGGGGACAGATATCCCCGGGCGCCAGCTATTTTTGGGGCGCCAAAATGTTATTGGATATAATTTTATTTATGAAAATAGGGGATTTGAGAGTTGAAAAACGAAAAGGGGGCGCTTTAAAATGAATCTTGTCCCCGGGCGCCAAACACTCTCGCTACGCCTCTGTTGTTAATCCTAGATTCATCATTTCCAAAATACAAGCATTTCCGATTTTTAGTTGTACATTTAAAAATGTTAAATAAGGGAAATAATGTGATTAAATAAGATATTTATAGTTGTTTAAGTTGGTTCCCTTGGGAAAAAAAAGTTTAAATTCCGTCCGAAAATTAGATTTTTTCCATATTTTTTCTCTATGATTTATTACTTTTAAAAAAAATTCATATTCTTATCAGTTATCAGTTCTTCTTTTCTTTAAAAAAAAAATGTAAGCCTTCAAATTTTTTCAGGAGAGTTTACTTGTGAAATCAGCGATTTCGGTCGCAGCATAAATGGTTCCGTGCTTCTTAATGTTCGTCCCTACCCTGTGATAGAGGTAAAGCCCCTTTCTGCCAGCATTGAGCAGGGCAGTTCTCAAGTTATCAGGTGAGTTAACATTTTAATAAAGTTTGGAAGTGCATTGCACTCAACCTTTCTTTATATATTGTTTTGACTAAAATATTATCTATTGCTAATTACGAGCTATGATTTAAGAAACTCCTTTTCTTGTACTTTATATAATAATAAATTTATAATCTATGTGTAATTCTTATGTTGGTTTCCCCAGATTCTTCTGTTGCTAATTCATTCATAATTTGCTAATACTTTTCAAAAAGGACACAATCATATATCACAACTGAATTTTGAGTTAATATTTAACAATGACTGTATTATAAACAAGTATTCCTAACATAATTTTACCAAACTTTTTTTTTTCCAGAATATAATTATGATCTATGTTTTTATTCAAATATATTTATAAGTTATAAGTCTTCATAAAGTTTTGAATATTTGTATTATTTATTAAGAAGAAAAAAATACTAATGGAAGTGCTGAACAAAATTGTGAACAAAAATGAGGCAATTTAGATCAGAAACTCCGACTCCATCACCACGTGCACGAACTATGCGCCAAGGCTTCACAAAAATTGGGCTTGGTGAAAAAGCTAGCTTGCACCGAATGGGGGGCAGATGCAAGACTGTTGAGGTCGCTCTACCTTAGCAGTGTGAGAGGAACAATGGACTACAGTTTGCCCGTCCTAGCCTTTGCAAGCCATACGGCTTTGGAGGAACTGGACCGCATCCAAAACCGTGCTCTAAGGTTTGTTTGCGGGGCAATACGAACCACACCCACGGCGGCGGTGGAGATCATTTCCAATGTCGAACCGCTCGAGGTCAGGCGAGAGAAGGCAGTCCTTGCGACGGTAGAGCGTTACCGCCGCATGGACAGAAAGGAACCCTGTTTCAAATTACAGGAAGAATGGGAGAAAAAGTCCAGATTGAAGCGACCATCCTTCATGGACATGGTTCACAGTCTTGAAAAAGACGTCTTTCTGCCCAGAAACAGGGAAAAAGTGAAAGTGATCCCCGCGCGGGGACCACACAAAAGTCTTCCCCTGCCGGACATTCGACTGGAAATGGTTGATGCCAAAGCCAGCGAAGACAGTCCTCAATTAGACCCATCAGAGGCTGTGCAACGCACGATTGACGCCTACCCGAATAGCTTGGTTAAAGTCTTTACGGACGGCTCATGTTTCACGGAGGAAAAGCGTAGTGGCTATGGTGTCCTCATCCAGTATCCCGCAGAGATAGCTCCACCCGAGGAGCTATCAGGCCCATGCGGTAGGAATGCAACAAGCCTCGATGCGGAAATTGAGGCGATACTGGTAGCTCTTAAGAGGTTGAACCAACGGCTAGCCAATCGGAAGTCCTTCCCGGACGTTGTGGTCTTCACCGACTCTCGTTCTGCTCTCGAACTCATGGGGGAGAGTTCGGTGGGCTCAACAAAGATCACTGTCATTCTGGAAACAGTAGGCTCCATCCATGCACATGGCCCTAAGGTAATCTTCCAGCTAATCACTTCGCGCTTAGAGGCGTCGCTTCCTGACAGGGCAGATTTCTTAGCCCAAGAAGGCGCAGCCCTACCTCAACCAGACAATCCCATGACTCAGGTCGGAGTCACTGCCTGGTTGAAAGACCATTTCAGGAGAAAATGGCTTGGAAAGTGGGACACGGCCACTACTGGACGACAGTTTTACCGGGAATTCCAGCGGCCGAGCAAAAGCGACCCATGGTGGGAGCTTAGTCGTAGAGAACAAAGCCTTATCACACAGATGAGAACTGGGCACTGCGCCACGCGCAGTTATCTCTACCGACTCGATAACAGAAGGGAACTTTTGTGCCGACAATGTGGACACGAAGAGGAGACAGTAGCCCACTTGGTTGTCACGTGTCCGGACAGTGGGATGGGGGCCAACGGTAGGAATCCGGAGGCCTGCCTTAATGACCTCCTTTACGGAAGCGCCCAGCAGATGAGGCGCGCCGTACGCATCGTGTCAAGGGTCCTAAGAGAGTAATCTCGCACCCTTTTTGAGTATTAATCTTTATTAGTATATCATACTCTAAAACATTTACAAATTAAGTCAAGCAACATCTACATAGTGTGCACAGTAATTGTTAATTTACTTCTATTTAAACCAAATTTAACATTTCCAATGATTATCTGGTAGGTGTATATCTGCTGTGGAGAGTGATATATCAGCTAAATATGCATGGAAAAAAAACAATGCATTCATCACTGAGTCTGACCCAGAAGTCATTGAGGTTTGTATTTATAAATTGACTTTTAAAAAAATTTTGTTTCCCATTTAAATTTTGTTTTTTTATTTCACATCACAATTTAAAGAAAAAAAAAATGGTTTCAGCCTAGTCATAGGTCTACATTCTATTTTCAAATTAAGTTTTTAAAGTATAAAGTGCTTGAAGCTATATTTTAAATATTTTTATTTTAGCAACTCATATACATGAAGGAAACTCAGAAGGTATTGATTATTAGATATAAATAAAGGAAACTCAGAAGGTATTGATTATTAGATATAAATAAAGGAAACTAAGAAGGTATTGATTATTAGATATAAATAAAGGAAACTGAGAAGGTATTGATTATTAGATATAAATAAAGGAAACTCAGAAGTTATGCATTTTGTGACTAAGAATGATGCACATTTTAAGAAAATTGGACCTACTTTAATGTTAATGCTAATATTCATTTAAAAACTATTTCATTACATATTTTATTTTAGGACTTACTTCCAACAGGCAGTCGTCTTCTTATCAACAATGCTCGCACTAGTGCTAACTACACCTGCCAAGTGACCAATACTGCAGGAACTTCCTCTAAGAATATTTACGTCTTTGTTGCTGACGGTAGCTTCACCTGTTTCATTTCAAGCATGCTTATATCTTTTTTTTCTCCACACAGCCATTTCTTTGAAAAAAGTTTTTTTTTTTAAATTCATCTCAATAAATAGTAAATTCCCAAATGAGATTACTTTTTTTAAACTTTTATAATTACTTGACAAATAAATTTCAAATATTGAATAACTTTATTAATTTAAAATTAAAGGAGTTTCCTTAATGATAATGACCGACCTTCACCTAAAATGACTTTGAAAAAAATAATAAAAGCATTAATATTTGACAGAGTCACTTCTTTTTGGCATTGAAATTTTGGCGATTTATTAATCGATTCTTTTTTTTATAACTATTTTTTTTTTATTTGATAGCTCAGAATAAATTATTCTCATGTCCTGCAAATATACTGAAAAGTGTCCAATGGAATGTTACGATAGGAGGCTCCTTTGATAGGCAAAAATGTCCAACAGATACAAGAGGTAAGATAATTTATCACTAATACATTGTTTTCATTAACTGATTTACCTGAAGGAATTTTTTTACATATATAAGCTAGGGTTGCCAACTTATTATGGACAAACACATTTTTATGGACCCATTTTTTTATATAAAAATCTACTTCGAAGTCAAAATGAAACTTCCACCAGCTGAACCTTTATAAATTTATGACTATATCCATAATATGTGAATCCACAAAATGCAGAGCCATTGTGCAAACTTATGGAGGCCCTCTGTCACTTATTGGTTTTGTGCCCCTTGCGTTAATAGTTGAGTTTCAATTTTTTTCCCACATTACAACTTTGGGCTCCTTAAATATATGAGACCTTCTGCAGTTGCAAATTTTTAGGGTCTGATGGTTCTGTCCATATGACCATAAAGATTGAGCACATTTTATAACACTATTTTTTGTGTGTATAACATTCTCATTAGTGTTGCTGCAATTTCTGCTGCATATGATCTTACAAGTTTAGAGCAGGCATGAAGAAACCATAATCTCTGTTTAGCCTCAAAATATATTTTTATACTGCCTCATTTCATTTTATGGATCTCCTTAATCTCTTTTGGAGTTTTAGGGACAAGTCAATTAGGTCAAATTTTTTACTGTACCTAAATTTAAAGATGCTACCAAGCCCCATTATTATCTATGCTAACATTTTTGTTTAACTTAGTTCATTGTATATGTGCAATGTGCAGCATCTAAAAAGTATCTGAATAATGTGTTTGACCATCATATAATGTGTGTGACAGGTTATTATGTCAGAATAAATATGTATTTCTGATCATCCCACAAAAGGTGTTGATGCCACCAGGTAAGAAATATCCAAGAATAAATATATAATTCACCCAAATTTGTCATGTAATACAATACTCATGAGATATATTATTACTTGTTTACAGATGTCTCCGTAAGAAGTCTTGGAGATGGTATGTATAATATTTAATGATATCTGCTTCTTGAATATTCAATTCACATCTTTTTATTCATTTAAAAACATTATTATCATTATATCTCTTAGAAATGTTTACTTACGATTTCTATTTCATTAAATGCAATTAATTTTCTAAATGCAACATTGTTTTTTGTTTTTAATTTTCCCTTTTCCTAATCTGTCTTGTTCAATTATATTGATCAATCTAGGTAGATTATTTTAAATTGTAGAATTTATAATTAATTTTTATTTATATTTTCTTTAGCTCAAACTAACAGTCAAAAAGCTTATGCATTAGGCTAGTATTTTTTTTTTTTTTTTAATAGTAAATGACATGGAGGTATCAAATAGAACTTTATTTTTGCTAGGATTTATTTCTTAGAATTCATTATAAAATTTAAAAACCATTTCTTTTTTTTTTTTTTTTTTTTGTTTTTTTTTTTTTTTTTTAATAGTAAATGACATGGAGGTATCAAATAGAACTTTATTTTTGCTAGGATTTATTTCTTAGAATTCATTATAAAACTTAAAAACCATTTCTTTCACAAATTAAAAAAAAACCACAATTTAAAGTTTAATCAAATTTTTTTCTATCAGTATTTAGATTTAGATACCTTTTTATTGAATTTTTTAAATTTCTTTTTTGATGGTGTAAGTAAGGTTGTTGTTTTTTTTTTTACTTCAGCCCTTCAGTTAATTTTTTCAAATGTCAAAACTTTTTAAAAATCATACACGGTAAAGGATAAAAATGAATATTATTCATTTTATAAGATATAGAAAAAAGAACAAACTGAAATAAAGAAAATACAAGAATTGTTATAACACTGCTTTTAAATTCACATATTATATGATCAGTTTTTAAATATCTTGTATTAATTTATAATTTGCACTGTTTATTTATTATTCCAAAATTTAAAAATTAGCTACTAGTCATCAAGTTAAATATTAGCAGATATGAAAAATACATTTATTAAACATCTTATAAACTGCCAGTATGGATTAGCAATAAATACTCAATAACAAAATCTAATAAACCACATTTCTCTTTATGAATAAAATTTCTTTTGAGTGATAGAAAAAGCTTTCTTGAAGAAATATTGCAATTCAGCCCACAATTTTCATTTACTTTAAGGTTTCACCATACACTAATTCACAAATTTATAAAAAAGGACTAATATTGTTTTTATTTCTTTCAGTTAGAGGTTGGTATGATAATTCAGTTTTTGGATGGGTGACATATTTTACTGCTACAGAAGAATTTTTTCTTTACTCAAGAATAATAAAAGTTGATTTGAATTGCACCATTTATGTTGCACATTAGTTAACTGTATAATTTGGATGACACAATTTTTTATTTGACTGATTGAAACAAAATGACTTTGTTTTCCAAGGCAGAAAAACATTAATGTTTTAAATTTTTGCTCCATATTTAATTTAAAAACATATACCTATTAATTAGTCTGTTTATGAAACTTTAGATTAGTCATTGTTGAAGGATAGAATGGCAGATTTGTTCAAAGGGAAACGGTATTCAGTTAATTTATGTAGAATGGTATTAAATTAATTTATATAGATTGATAAAATGTTCCTCTTTGCTGTATTCTTTTTTTATCGTTCTTTACCTCACACTTTGTTTGTTTTTCTTTTTCCCTCTCTACTCATTACCATGAGCTGGAATTTTTCTAAACATCATCAACCATAAAAATTAATAATGAGATTAATATTATTACTATGATAGAATTCAGAAAAGGCGCCTATATTATTCTTGATTTTTATAACAGGCAGAATAGAGAATTTTAAATTATTTATATAGACCTAATCATTTTGTTTTATTCTTTGGGCCTATGATATTTGTTTAACATACCTTAGTGGTCAGTGTTAGCGGCAAAACACAAAATTTGTTTTAAAAACAGAAAGTAAAAAAAAAACTTGAAACATGAATTTTCAATTTCTGACTAAAATAATATATTCTGATTTATCTTCTACTATAGCAAGTAATAAAGCTATTTATAAATAGACAGGGTGGTGCAAAAAAAAATTTAAAAAAATTGGGACCTCCTAGTGAAATCTTATGTAATATATATCAAAATAGTTTTTGGTTGGTTTTTAAACTGAAACACTAAACTTACTAACTACAAAACGTATGATGTCCCTCCTTCATTAAATTGTGATCGCCATCTTTATATTTTAATTACTTTATCAGTGTTTGAAATTATACAAGACAGTCCCAGATCTTGTGCATCAACCTGTGTAACTTTTTCATGTGAATGCCAGTGTCTTACATGATCCTTGTCTTTTTGTTGTCTGATTAATTTATTAAATTGGTTTAAGAGAAGATAAATTTTATTAGATTTTTGCCATGGGGCATGACCTAAAGCTAAAAATTTCCTAGCTCAGTGATGCTTGGAACAATTCCCAATTTTACTAAATTATGTTTTGTGTATTAAAATATTGTCAGTGTCTTTTTTAAAAAAGACAATGGATTATCTTTTCAAAATTATTTCTTAATATGTGTACCTAAACACATTAACAACCCAAAACTATTTTTGCTCAGAAACGAAAAGGAAGCAGCATCATCTCCTACTTTTAATGTCTAAAGATTTCTTTTCAAATACAAATTTTTCTTTTTACTTTTTTCTACCTCAAAAAGTTTATATAAATTCTTTAAAAAAAATGTTTTCATAGCTGTAATTGTACATCGTTAAATTCTCTTCATTGTTTTCTCAGCTTTCAGCTCCTTTTGTCAAGAATATTTCTATTTAATGTATTTCAATAGAGTCTTCATGTGAGCTCTTGTGTTTTCTATATGTCTGTATCTATTGTTTTTATTTATTGAGGTAAAGTGAGTCCTGAAACGATTCTAATTCCGACACAATATGCACTACTATTAATTTAGAAAAAAAAAATGCCTTTTCAATCTACTATCTTGCTAACCAGCAAGACAATAAATGATTCAAAAATTGTAATTATAGATAAATTTGCAGCAGTTCAATGCAGGCAATTGTTCTTTTGAATAAATAAACATGATTTTTTTAGGTTGCTGATCTGTTTCAAAATCATGTTCAAGCATTGTTGTCTTGTTCTCTTCAAATGGAATTTTATTTCATTATTCAAATCTTTTAAAAATTAAATAAATACTGTTCACTATACAACGCACAATAAAAAATTAAATATTTTTTAAAAAGCTGACAAAAAATAATTTGAAATTTCTTAAAAATCCTATGATCATCCTCTAATATATATATATATATATATTTATTTTAATACAATCTTTATGTTAAAAACAAAAGTTACATGTTGAGGACACAAAATTAGTGATGATTATTCTTGACAAATCAATTTATAATGAAAATTCAACGTTCTATCTCTAGGCTATACAAAACGCCTATGTACTTGTGAAGGCTCTACGTGTGAGTGGGGACAGCCCAACTATGTTCGCTGTCAGTCTGTTCATTTGATCAACGTTTATGATGAGGTAAGAACAAATCTACCTATTTAAAGTTGGCATTTTGATTTACTTTTTAGTTAAGGAAATCATCCAATGATAATTACACATTTTAAATAAAACCATAAAACCACTAAGATAAAGTTAAAATTTCAATTTTAGAAGCTCATTAGCAATATGCTAAAAAATTAATTCTTTACTAGAGAGGAATACTTATTTTTGGTTTGTTACAGATAGATCCACTGAGCTTACAATTTTTTATTAGTACTTTCCTTTAATTGACAACTTTGCAAAAGAATATTTTTTTTCTGTATATACTTCCAACATAGTCAAAGGTGTGAAAGCTCCTATTCATTAATGTTAATTAAAATCTATTATTGTGTGTTTGGGTCTAAAGTTAAAAAAATATAAATATTTCTATTAAAAATTTTTAAGATTTTTCGAAACGAGTTTATACTTTTGAACTATCTTCAGATCATGAAGATTGAGCTAGGGTATAAAGAGACAACGCTGATGGAAACTTTTAAAAAGCTCTACAGCCTTGCCCAAAGGGCCAGAAATAACATGTTTTCTGGAGACATAGACATAACAGCCAAGAATCTGCAAATGATAGCTAGCATTGCTAGAGATTTCCCTCCCTTGTTGACTGAAATGTTTAACGTAACGGTAATTATAAAAATTGCTAAAATTATATCTATTTATATGTGAGTAATTTTTCCAAATGCTTATGAATCAAATTTGTAATTGAGTGATTTGAGATTTTATATTTTTAAGCATTTTAATTTCTTTTGAAAAGTGTTGACATACAGCAAATGAGCTGAATTTTAAAAAATCTAAAGTAAATATTTAATGCATAATTTACTTCATTATCATTTTTCTGTCACAAAAATTTATTTAAAAGACATTTAAAATATATAAATGTAAATTCAAAGCGAATTGTTTCAGGACTTAGTAAATTTCTGCAATATACTGCTAGAGGAGACATTCAACATGACAAGAGATGAAAAAAAGGTTTGATAATAAGATTTATTTTATTTAACAACTTGGCATGAAATAAGATGTTGACTTAATGTATGTAAACCTGCCTATTAGGGTTATTACAACTGGCAGAGGATCTTTTATTCTGTTGCTAGGCTTTTGTAACAAAGACCCACTAACTGGAAAAGCTTACCAAAATGAATTAGCACAACTAGAAGCATCACAGGAGGATATAAACAGAATACAACATAAATGAACAGTGGGATAGGATTTAAAAAATGCTATGAAAAGATCAGCAGAAAAAGTAGTAGGATTTCAGCTAACAGAAGAGTATGCTGGTTTGATAATGAATGCAGAGAGACTGTCCAAGTAAGGAAAAAAGCACGAATAATCATGATACAAAGGGAAACCAGAAAGACAAGACAATCATGCAAGGAAGCCAGAAGGAAAGCCACAAAATGTGTGGGAATAAAAAGAGGGAATGGGAAAAAATGGAGGAAAAAAGCCCATGACTGATGAATTGAATTGGAGAGATGTTGTTTCATTAACTGCATTAATATATATATTCATTTGTTTTATATATATAAAACTGCGTGGCCGAATGGTCTCAATTCCAGCCAAAGGCCGGTCAAGCAAAAACATCACCCCGGGTGGATGAGACTCGTTAACCTTGGTCGGCAACTCATCTAAGAGAAGGAAACTCTGAATTCAAACCTGGAGTTGGAGTCCCGTAAGGCGCATACAATGACAATTCCTGCATCCGTACATATACCTGGTTGTCTTGACGTTAGAGTCTAGCCACTGGATATGATGGGCCCGGACGAGAGAGTGAGGTTGACGCCGCGCAACTCTTCCTCACTTTAAACATAAGAAAATATATATATGTCCAGTGTTTTTTTTGGTAAAAGTAATAATTTAAAAAAATAATTAAATGATGCCAGTACTCACTCCTTGTTGATCATTTAGGGGCCCTCCATGATTATGTCACGCATTGGGAAAATCAAAAAGGCATTGCTAAGGGTGGGCAGAGGCGGAACAGGGAGGGGCTACATAAATGGGCTCAGATGGTACTTTATTGATGAAAATAATGGGTTTCAAAGTTGAGGAATAAAAAAAAAAAAAAATTTTGTGCACTGGGGAGGGGATCACAATTTTTTTGAGTGTGTCTAGATTGTGTGAAATTTGTGATGGGGAGAGAAGGAATAGTAAAAAAAAAACAACCTTTGCGGCAGGTCAAAAATACCATCCTTCAATATAAAGAAACAAGAACTTGGTGCCGTCTGGGGTGGACCGCTCCCTCCACACACCACCCCCCCCCCCTTTTCCTACATTCCGATATAAAACAACCTTTGCGGCAGGTCAAAAATACCATCCTTCAATATAAAGAAACAAGAACTTGGTGCCGTCTGGGGTGGGCCCCTCCCTCCACACACCACCCCCCCCCCCCCTTTTCCTACAAGAAAGTTTAATCACCATGCACACAACCACAATGGTCAGTTTTGTAACAAAACAATGTGTGAACAAAACGTAAGGGTGCCACCAGCAGTAAGCACATATCATGTGACCAGAAAACCAATCACCAGACAAACAGTGCCATGACAACCAATGCAGATGGAGACCCATGAATCAGACTAAACACACAAGCAGCCCACAAAAGATGTTTCCTTAACCTGCTTTGCTCAACAGGGTGATATTAAGTCAATATGAACCCAACATTATTTCCCAAAGTTACTTGGAAAATCCGTAGAAAAAAGGTGTTGGTACGTCAGATGCTTTCTATGACAAAAAAAAGCAGTGTTAAGGCCTGTGTGTACTTGTATATATTTTATAATACATTTTACAACCTCTTAAAGTATATTATTATTATAATGTGAGTAAAAAATAAAGAAGTCAAAGATTCAATGCAATGATGGCTGATATTGTTTATTCCCAGGAACTTCTTCTTGGCATAAGACTGATTCAGGTGTTTGAGATTTTGATAGATCTGAAGAGAGTTAAGTTGGTTAACATATCAGATGTTCAGAGTGAGAAGATCAGTGAGTGAAATAAATTTGAAAAGCTTTTTTTTTTTTAACTTGCAGGAATTATTCAAATTCATGTTAATAATTCTTTAAAAATTTATTATGCACTAAATGTTCAAATATGTTTTTCAAAATGCTGATAACTATTACACTTATATTTAAAAAGTTAGTTTTATGTTTTGTACATTTTTTTTAAAGATGCACTAGAAAAAAAAAATTGATCCTTACTTTACCTGAAGTTTTAATAATTTTTTTTACTCTTTTCATCATCAGAAATGCAATTAATGATGATGAAATCCGTTGAAGATATGAAGAACATGGTAACAGATGCAGTTATTGGGAATATTGAAAAATGTAAATACAAAATGCAAAAAAAATTATTTTTCTTCTTACTTTTTAGCAGGTTATGTGATGTTTACTTCCATCAAAAAATAAATACAAATATAGTGTACAATTATCCATGTATCACCTGATTCATGATTGGTTACAAAGAGTGTTAAAATTTGCTTGTTTATGTCAACACTGGTTGAAACCAACATGTTAAATATGTAAGCTTTTATTTTTTAGGTTGGAGTTAAGAAGGGATTTAAATAATTTTCTAATTATTCTTTTGTGTTGACCTAATCTTTTAGCTCCTGTGACTCTCAAACCTGTAATGGTTATCAGGTTTGATCAAGTAATTTTGCCCTTGCTAGAAAGAGAAGGAAGAAAAATGTAAGTTAACAATATTCTTAAGCTAAAAATTTTGATGCTTTTTAAAAAGAATATTATTTGTTACTCAATTGAAAAATTATTTAGATTTGCATTTTTTCCCTTGTTCTTATTATTTGATAAAAAAAAAAGAGTCCCATTTGATTTGGGCTGTTGAAAAAAAATAAGGTTTGTGCACAGGTTTTTTTTTTTTTTAAATGCATTGGGGAGTAATTTACTTAGGTTTTTACCCAATAATATTTTATTGTTTTTTACTTTTTGACGGTTTTTTTCATTTTAATTAAATTATTTAGATTTGCATTTTTTCCCTTGTTCTTATTATTTGATAAAAAAAAAAGAGTCCCATTTGATTTGGGCTGTTGAAAAAAAATAAGGTTTGTGCACAGGTTTTTTTTTTTTTTTTAAATGCATTGGGGAGTAATTTACTTAGGTTTTCACCCAATAATATTTGAGTGATCTTTACTTTGAGACAGTTATTATCATTTTAATATAGTAAGTCTGTTACAATTAATCTCCCTTTGTTTTATTTTCCTTAATGCAGACGACCAAGTTTAAATTCTAAAATATTAATTGATTTGATGAAACTATGATGTCTTGAGTCATTTTTTTTTCACTTATAGTGATCCCAATGAGAATTTCTTATCCGATGTATTCTCTTACCTGCCACTGAATCGAGTCTCTGGAAATTATGTTATTAACATGACACACAGGCAACTGAATGTGGTGAGTTCCTTTGAGTTGTAAAATTATAATTGACATATTCGATAGGCTGTAATATAGAGTACATCGGAATTAAATATAATATATCCCTGTAGCTGCATTATTGAAGATGATTTAATGGTATGTAGTTTAACTGTTTCTTTGTTAAGGAGAATGTATTGCTTTTTAAAACTTTTTTATAAACTTCTATACCTTCTATTTTAATTTGTTTTTTATAAGTCAAACTTAAGTTATTTGTAAAAAAAAAAAAAAAAAAAGATCATCATATATAGACTAATATAATATTTTTATATTTTTAATATCTGTTTTGAGAATTCATTATTGTAATTTTTTTATATCTTGTCAGCACTATTCAAAGAATACAACCTTTTGTTTTTCATGGCAACTTAGCAAATCGTAAGTACTTTTAAATTCTTTGTGTAAATTATTTTTAATTAATAATTTTAAGCAACGATTGTCTTTGACAGCACTATTAATTGTTTTTAAGTTCCTGATTTCTGTATTGCAGAGAGTCACCTACAGGACAATGGTTCAAGACAACCTGTGCTTTATTGGATTCATCAGCTAATTACACCAGATGCCTTTGTCCATTGCCTGGTCACTTCACTGTTGTATCAATACCAGCTTCTCAAGTAGTCAGTATTTATTATTTAGTTGATACTGAATAAAAAAACAAGAAATAATACATTGAAACTCAAGATTTACAGAACACTAAATCAAGATTTTAATTAATGCTATTTCTTTTAAATGATTTATGGACTGTTATTCATAAAAAAATTTTTTAAAACAAAACAATTTTATCATGTGTTAAAAATATAGATTCTGTTCTATTATCTGATTGAAAGTTCTTTAAGCCAGTGGAGTTTTGTAATTATGAACCCTTACAAGAATATAAAGGGATATCATTTAGCTATGTGTAAAAATTAAAATAATTTACATAAAAAATTAAATAATGTCACAAGTTGAAAGATGGGAATTATCATTTCAGCTCATTCTAGAGCTCAATAATAAATGTTGATAAGGGATTTATCTTGAAATTTTCAGTCTTAAATGCTGCTTATTTTAAATACTGCTTTAAGTTTTATGAAATCAGATGGCACTGTTTTCTCTTCTTAGGAATTTGTGACAGAGGACCCACAGTCTCATCTAGTATTATTCATGTCATGCATTTTGTCCATCACATGCCTGCTCATTGTTATTGTGATATATCTGAGAGCTTGGAGGTAGGCCCCTGTAGTAAACATAATGAAAGCAAGTTTAAATTTATTTATATTATCTGAAACTCAAACCAGATTAATTAAATTTTTTTTCAAGCATCATAAAAAAAGGCTAATTTCTTCATATACTTGGAGGGCATCCTTAAATGACTTCAAACATCTAAGGGGCAGGCAAGGGTAATGAATTTGTGATATGTTGTGTGTCTAAATGCTTCTTAAAATACGGGATTTTTTGGATGTAAAAAATCTGCTGAAATTGCATGATGTCTGATATAGATGCCACCTTGTTGATAAATTGTCCTAGTTTTTAAATTCTAATTTTGCTTCGTAATTTACTTTTTAGCTTCCTCTGGGATGTAAAGAACAATATTCACTTTAACTTCACTCTGTCCATTACCGGCATCAATGTTGTGTGCCTTCTATGCCTGGCTCACCCAAAGAATGAGGTAGACTATTACATTTCATTTATTTCTTAAGATGTCTTATAGTTTATAAATTTTTGCAACTGTATTTATTGTTGCCAAGAAATAGATGGAGAATCAGTAGGCCGCTGAAAGTTTTATGACAGTAAGTATAACTGTAATGTAAGATTAGCCCATAAACTCTGATACCAGTATCATATTTATTGATTTTATACTATGACCTCTTCCAATGGATGTATTTTTCTTTCACCAGCTGATGTGCCTGTCTGGGAAGATATTTCTCCAGTTATTTACACTTTCAGCATTCACATTCCTTCTTCTGGATGCCATCAAAATTTTCACAGACATTCATTCGCGGTCTCAGGCACGAACTTTAGTCAGAACACTTAAATTTGTTATGACAGGATGGGGTACGGAAACTGTTTATATTTCATAAACTCTCCTTTTAGTTTGAAGATGCCTTGATGTTCATAAATTACCATTTGGGCTGAAATAAAAGTTTATGTCTTAATATTTATATAGATATAAAAAATGTCATTTGCTGCTCTAAGACTATTTGTGTATTATTTAAAATTGAATTAGATTATTTTATTTTTGATATCAGGATTACCTGTGTTGTCTGTTGTATGTGCAGTTCTTATGATGGAGGTGGCTGGCTATGACAAACAATGTAGTAGTTGGTAAGCAAAGCAATTTATCATTAATAAGTCAATATCTGTATTTTTAAAAAAAATATAATTTTTGTTCATGATTCTTAGTAGAATAGCAGATTACAGAAACAATTATTTTTTTATATAAACCAGAATAAATTCCATAATATTGAATGTAAATTTTGTAACCCAATTAAATTTTAGCCCCATTTATGATGGTAGAGCCATTGAAGAAAAATGTAAAAAATAGAAGTATAACATTCTATTGATATAAAATTTGCAATAAACTTGCATTAAAACATTACATTTTTTTATAAGAGTAACAAAAAAGGCAGATCTACTTTTTCTTAAAGTTAATAATTTTATGTAAAGTAATAACTGTAAGAATATTTTATTTTCTTATCTTGCAGGTGCTGGTGGACTCCGTCACATCATCATTTTTATAGTGTGCTCATACCATTGATTATGTTGATAGTGGTGAGTGTACATTCTTTATTTACTTGATCATGGTCAAGCAATATAAAAAAATTAAACACTTATCAGCAGCTGCAGCTTACAATACATTCTAACTAAGTAATGATTTTTTATTCCATATTGTTTTTACTGTAGTTTGTTCGCTGAAGAAGGCTTCTTGCTGACATGTTCGTTGTTTTATTGTGTTATTTTTTAGGTTTTCCCATTCTTTCTTTGTTTCGCTCATTTCCCTTTACCTAACCTGATTACAGTCTCTCTCCCTTATTACCATGTATATTTAAGTCAATTCTAAGCATAATTATATTATAAACAAAATCCCTTAGTTGTTTCCGCCTGAAAAAAAATTGTAGTGATTGTAAGGCCAATTGTTAAATTCAAATATTTATATATTAGAAATGGATTTAGCTTCCAGTTTGGTCCTCTGTTTTGCTCTCAGATGTGTGAACATGTTTACGCATCTCTGTTAAATAAATTATTGTTTACCTCCTCATAAATGTAAACTATGTAGTTATGCCACATTAAATTTACAACCCAGCCTCGTCTGTGTCAGGTGGACCAATTAGTGGTCTTAAAAAAATTATTTAATATAATATTGGCAATATAAATGCAGATTATTTTGAGTGGTTTTGAAAAAAAAATTTTAAAAATGTGCAAGCTACAAGCTGCATCATCATGCACTGCCACCAGGCTGAGATATTCATATAAATCTTTGGAGCTTCAGGTGTGGGCCTAAAAATTTATTTTCAATGAAATATTTGATGATTGTAATAAATTTTGACCTTCAATCACATTTAATATCACCACAAAAGAATCTCTTCAATGTATTTAGTCAGTGTTAGAAGAAATAACAGTGTTGACCTACAAATTTGCAGAAACCCTTTTTCAATGTCAATTTTCTCTATTTAGGCTTTTACAACGAAATTCTACATGACAATATTTTGTTAAGTATTAAATGCAATCCAGAATTATGATTAACTTAAGGCTAATTGTAGACTCTCTAATTCCCAGGGTCACAATTTTGTTCTGGTGCTATGTGTCATCCTAGTAACAAAATGGAATGAAAAATGGAGTTACATAGAGAAACGAAAATATTTGTGAGTTAAGTTAGATTATAATTTTTCTACTTAAGATTAACAGCGAGATTTTAAAAATTATGTTTAGTTATCCATAAATTACGAAGCAAATTTTTTTCCCCCTAACATTCTTTGCTCTAGCAATGAATAAATTGAATGATCCATATATGGATAAAGTATGGATAAATATCTGCTGATCTCAATGGGAAAAAATTATTTTTAAAATGTATCTCAACATTTCAATATTTATGATACTTATATAATTAGGAATGAATTAAATTTTTCATTTCGATATTTTTCTAAAACAATTTGAATAAGATGGAAAATGATAAGTTTTCTGCCTTTGACATTGTTTTCTTGGAGTAATTGATAGGTCCACAAGAAATTCATTAATAATGGGTTTTAAGTACTTAAACTCCAAAACGTTAACATTTCCTCCTATTTCTTTCACAGGCTTGAAATAGGCAGTAGTGAAACTTTGCTTGTATTGCTCATTCTGTGTGTAGTTGTTGGTGTTGCATATGATGACAAAGAAGCCAAGACAAGGCAAGCACTGGTTATTATTTGCAACCTTTTACTGGTGAGTCTTGCAATAAATAACAAGATGTGTAATAAACAGTTTCAATGTTTATTTTCTTTAAGACTCGTTTATATTTGATTAATTTAATGTACATTTTAACAAATTATATCTTTTTCAAACTGAATAGGATTAAGTTGTTTTTTTCTCCTCTCACTCAACTGTAAACAAGCATTGATCATTGAATCTGAGACATTTATCATACCAAGAAAATTGGGAATGATTGTTTTAATTTGTATGATTGTTTAGATTGGTATCATTGTTAACATTGTTATGAAAATTTTTAATGGTTTTGTCTACGTGTACATATTTTTTCAGTCATTTGCAGTAGCAATTTTGTTAACAGTTATAAAGAAACCCGTAAGTACCAAATGACTGCTACTTTTACTCACTCTCCTTTTTTCTACTTGTAAATTCGTTAGTTGATTTTGCTATTAATTGGTTTTTACTCACATATGAAACTAATTTACATATCTGTAAATGTGGTTCAGAAAACAAAATACTCACTGATGGGATAATGCAGTAATTGGGAGAATCCATACAATGATAAGAGGAGTATTTTTTATTTAGTTTTCCTAGTTGTGAGAATGAAACTCTCAATGTAGGGTTTCATGCGATCACCCCCAGTGCCAGGGGCCCATGGGGTGGCATTTCAGAGGTGTGAGGTGTCATTTCAGGGGTTGTGGTGGCATTTCAGTTGGTGCAAGGTAACATTTCAATGGTTGTGAGGTTACATTTCAGTGGGTGTGAGGTGGCATTTCAGGGAGGGGGGATGTAACATTTCAGGGGGCTAGGGGGCATTTCAATGAGAGTGAGGTGGCATTTCAATGGAAGTAAGGTGGCATTTCTGGGGATGTGAAGTGATATTTCAAGGGGCGTGAAGTGGCATTTCAGGGGCGTGATGTGTAAAAGGGATTATTATAATTTTCCTTCATGCAATAAGTCAGTTTTATTTTCTATTTTTATTTCAACTATTAAACAAGAAGTCCATTATTTTCAATGTTAAATTACATTGTTACTTTTGTTGGGGGTAATCCTTGGTAAAACAATTCATAAGGGAGGTGAGAGTGAGACTTCAACAATAACTTTTAAAGGGTGCAGAGTATAGAAAATATTGGGAGACACTGTCTTAATGAATAATTGGAGAACACACCTACATAAACTATTTACTTGATTTGTAACTTTTTATAATTAACTTATGAAAATTAATTTTAACACTTATACAGCATTGTTCTTTGCTAATTTCCTTATTTAATCATAAACAAATGTCATCTCTAAATTCACCAGTAGCTTACATTATAAACTTAGTGCTTGATTTTTAAAAAAAATGTCCTTGCAATTTTTTTTTTTTTTAGATGAGATTATCAGCTTTCACAATGTGTCCACCAACCAGAAATGCTAGTCATAAATTTTCAGCTTTCAAGGGTAAGAAGAAGCAATTAAATAATTTATTTTGTATAATTAAAACTATTGATTTTATCTTTTAATATTAAAGAAATGATGATGAAATTGTTATGAATTTATTACCTCCGAAATCTAATCCAATGAAGTCATCAAATACAGCTAAATGCTTAATATTTGTAAAATATTTAAATTTACAAAAGTCTGTTGGTGTTACTTTAAATGTGGTCTTCAACTAAATAAATAATCATTGGTCTTATAAAATTAATTTATTATTTTTACAAAATCAGAAGACCTAAAGAGCTTAAATCTAAAATTTAAAATATTTTTTTTTAAGGATATTCATTTTTTTTTAATTTCAGCTTTTGTACTGCCGGAAAACCATGCTGACCATGCCAGGGCAGAAGTTGAACGCATCCATGAGTACTGTGATCGTGTTGATCGTGAACGCTACACCAACGAACACAGGCGCCAACTTCGCTACCTCCTCAGTAGCAGCAGTGCCAGTGGCTCATCCAGTGCCTCACCGCCTCCGGAAGAGACCACGACCGGCTCAAAAACTGTTCAAATCCACAATCATCGGGTCAGCTTCCAAAAGAAAGACATGAGTGAACTCAGCATCACAGACAGTGGGATATCAAGCATGTATACTGCAAGTGAAAAATCATCAACTACAACTCCACCAATGGAGAGAGTTGTACAATATAAGTAAAAACTGTCATGAAAAGGGAAATTTCCGAAAACATTTTCCAGAGTTACGGGTAAAGTGTAAAAAAAAAAGAGAGATTAAGAGAATGTGTAACAGATTAAATTTTGCTCAAATAAGTTTTTTTTAGTTGTTACTTCAAAAGGAAAAATTGAAGGCAAATATATTAAAAAATATTTAGATTAAAAAACAAAATATGAGTACATTTTATAAAAATATTAAATTGCTTTTCCAAAACTGTTAGGTATTATAAAATAATTGTGCATGAATATCAAAATGGCTTTGTCTATTCTTTATTATAACAATTAAGAAATTGCTCTTTTTATTGATCTATTTTATTTGTTTGTATGTAGTTATATAATTTTTTTTCATGACGCTAATGTCAGATTTTTAATAAATTTGAAGGCAATATACAGAAATGGGCAGGCAGTCTGTTTTTCCAATAAAATGCCATACATTTTTTTTTGTACCCTGCAGCAACGTAAGTTATTTTCCAAAACGTTTATTTTGTTCGGTTTTTCATCAAATAAACCGGTGAAACAAATGTATCTCCGATTTTTTTTTAAAAATTACTTTTCTTCTATATGTAAGTGATATAAAGAAGAAAAAAAAAGATAAATGGTGAATGGAAAGGATCCAGCCTTCCAATACATTTTATGTGTTGTGATACAATTTTATACCGCTGTCAGCAAACACTGTGATATTATGTGGGTTGTTTTTACCACAAATTTTATTCCAAGAGAATTTGAAGCTTATTGTGAAGCCAATGTTTTTGCCATTTTACCCAGAATTTCTATGAAATATGTTCAAAATAACCTCAGCAAGTATGATAATATTTTTTGTGGCTGTATACATTATGCTCTAAAATTATTACTTTAACCTCAGTTATTTATTATTGTAAAAAAAAAAGTGTGTGTTTTTGTAATTTGTGATTTAACTATGAAACATGGTTTTCTTGTTGTAACCTGAATAGTAGTGGTGCATAAAATGCTGTGAAAATTTGAATCATTCAGTGATTGATTGCCTCTTCATTTCACTGATTACTTTGAATGTTGTTAAAAATAAACAAATGTAAAATATTTTTTAAAATTGCCATTTTTTTTCTAATTTGTGATTATATTTAATTTACTTTTTAGAAATTCTTACAAAATGAAATAAATAATTATATTTACTCTACTTTTCTCCCCACCCTAAATCCTGTAAAGAATCTATTGCCTTTTCTCAACTACTTCATCTTTATCAACTTTACCAGTTGGAGGATAACTTTTGTGATAAGACATGTGAAATAATTGACTATTTTTTCTGATATAGGTCCTACCCAGAGGCAGTACTTTAATCAGCCCTTCAAAGAGTTAAAAATATTGCTCATGCTGATGCCTTCAGGTCTTTACTGAGTGACAATGGTAACAGGACTAAACTTATTTTCATGCATCATCCTCACAATCTCATAGCCAAACATGTTTTCCTTTAAAAACTGTGCCATTCTCCTTGGCCAAATATCACACTGTTTCGAAAATTGGCCACGCCTGATTATGAGCTAAAGTCGTACTTCCTGTTTTTGGCATATATTGATATTTTTATTTATTTATTTTTTGCAACTTCACAAGTTTAAAGACTATAACAAAACGGTATTAAACTATATTTACTTCAATATAAAAGGTCTAAAATTTTAATACAGTTCTTGATAAGTATCAAACATATGCAATCTGTTTTCAAATTGTATATTAGCATCATAAAAGCTTGACTTTTAAAGTAGGAAAAGGTGTTAATTAACAAAATTTAATGGCTCATTCTTTAAAAATAAAGTTATTGTTAGCATAATTTTGAATGTTCTCTAGTTCATGTATGTTGGGCTATAAAAAAAGGAAAACTGTTTTTTAAAATGTATTTTTTTTTAATGCAAAATTTAGTAATTTTAAAGGGTACATACAAATAGTGCACATTTAATAGAAAGCTTTTGTGTTTTCTTTAAATTTTAAATGTTTTTCTTTTGTAACAAAGTTTACTAAATAACAGATTTACAACAAAAAAAAATACTTAGCCTATATTTATTAGTTTCCCAACTGATTATCACTTTTTAATTTCACAATGCCTACCCGTCTATTAGCACGCCCTTAAATATTTTTTTTTATGAGAATCCAGTCGGAAAGCATAAAAAAACGTTTATGTGAAATGGAATTTAGATTATTATGATGCCGAATCCATTTTTTTTGGTTGCCAACTAATTATATAAATAACTCTTCATCCTCAAATCATCAATTGACAAATAATTTCTATCCAAGTGGTTGAAAAGATGTGTTCAAGTATATCGAAGTCTGACTTTAAATAACAACCACATTTTTAACTAGCAGCTCTTCCATTGCTTTACAATTAAGTTTAGAGTGTTGAAATACTGAATTCGGGAATGTTTTAAATGCATTCTTGCATTCGAATTCATAAAAAAAAAATTCTGGATTCTATAAAGATTTAAAAAACGCATTCCCTCAAGGGCGCCACAATTGTGATGAATTTAGTTCATCTAGGCTGGGGTGGAGTTAGAGACATTTTAATCATTATTATGTTTAATTTTGGCACTTTTTTGACACTTTCCACCCAAAAGTCTGAAATGCCTCCTCAAAATTAAGTGGAAGAACCACTGAATTCAAGTATGAGCCAAAATGCATCTCTGCATTTTGAATTTGCCAGAGAGTCTTCGACACCTTCAATTTCTACACTCCTCTTTCCAACACGCTCATCAGTGTGGCAGTATGGGATTGTATCTAAGAATGATTGTCGAATGATTACTCTGGGACGCACCACAAATGGAGTAAATTCAATTTATGCATGGCACTGGGCGCCATAATGCGCCCCCCGGACGTTTAAAATATTCCGTCCCCGAGCGATAGAAACACTGAATTTAGGTATACGCGAAAATGCACCTCTTGATTTTAAAATAATCAGCAAAAAATTAAAAATTGAAACTTGGATGGGTCATCCCATTCGCCTCTCTTTTTTAGCCTCTGGCAGAGGTGTAGCTAGAGTGTTTGATCAACCTCAGTGTCTCCATGTTTTCCGGAAAAAGGGGGCTTACTCCCAAGTGAGTGGACTGCATCGATGAAGGATGGTCTTTTTAGCCAAGTCATCTTTATCCACCAGTCTTGTAGCTGAAAAGGGGTCAATATCAATTTTATGACGCCCCCGTCAACTCTGAAACCTATTATTTTCATCTATTTATATAAATGCCCATTTTTGGGGGCCCCCTCCCACACTAGTCTGACGCCCCGGGATATCTGCCCCCTTCAGCTACATGACTGGCCACTGGTTTAGCTCACCCCACCCCCCACACGTGGAGGAAATTGTCTAAAAGAATCGCTGGTGTCCTCTCGGACACTACATTGCAGCTAAGTGTTTATTTTAATTTTATTATTTCTTACTTTTATTTGATTGCTGAAGAAGGCTTCTTGCCGACACGTGCATTTTTTTATTGCGTCCCTTTTCAGGTTTTCTCAAACTTTGTTTCGCTCATTTTAATAAATAATTATTCCACCATTTCGTTTATTTTTAAAAATCTACTCGTCTAAAAGTCGGCATAGATTATTGAATTATCTTTTCCTATGAAAAAAAAAACGCCAAAAGTCTAAATCACCGGAAATAAGAAATAAAAGTACATGTGAAAAACATTTGTTGTCTATCTTCTAACCTCCCCTTTATGCTTTATTATTACTTTTTTTTAAAATAAATTATATGATTTTTATTTAGAAAAGGCGCAAAATTTTATTATTGATGAAATTATTCTAATGAAAAGAGACAGAAAATATGTAAAACAACGTAGGGGAAACCTGAAAAACAGGGTGCAACAAAATAACGAACATATCGGTGAGACGCCGTCATCGGTGAATAATAAAAAATAAATAAAGAAACTCCTCTGAAATGTTGTATCAAGGATGACAGCAAGATGATTGTAGTAAACGCTTAGGAGGTAAGAGAGTTAGTCTGGGCAAATGGAGAAGGAAGAGGGTAAAAGAAAGTACGCTGCAACTGGTTGCAAAAGTAAGAGGGCGGAGAAAATATTTAACAAGGGGGTGAGAACATGGCATTACTGACATGTGGAGCCAAGGTCCCACGGGTGTGGATCAGTTCCTTCTCTAAGTTCACCCAGAACCGTGAATAATAATTTTAATCACGCCCCTCTCTCCTGATAGTTTTATCACTTTAGAAGTGTAAGTTTATCCTTATTTTAAAGTTCATTTGGGATTTGTTATATGATGTTTTATGTGAGATCCAAATATCTAGAAAAAGATTTTTAAAAAGTGATTGTTTTTTTAAAACAAAAAATACAGAACAGATGCAAGCCATGCTAAAGCAATTAGAACAACTAAATTATTGGCCAAAGAAATTGGCAGTGAATGCATTCTTCACCAGGAAATTTAGCTTAGATCTCGAGAAAAAAAGTACCCAAATAATTTGACTTCTAATTTTCAGATGAGCCAATTATTTAACCATATAAGTATAAGAATAATTATATATCTTTTAGAAACAGATTTTGATGTCCCGCTAATAATTAAGTTCAAGATCTATAAGTTAACAAATCATTAATTTCAAGATCTATAAGTTATCAAATCATTAAGTTCAAGATCTATAAGCTATCAAATCATTAAGTTCAAGATCTATAAGTTATCAAATCATTAAGTTCAAGATCTATAAGTTATCATTTAACAGTGACAAAAACGATTTCTGAATAACATTTTAAAAAAAATTAGAAATACTTTTTTTTTTAGCATTTGTTTTTCGGTAGCCTAATTTATTTTTTTTAAAAGTATATTCATCTGCAGAATCCAGGAAAACCATGTTTATCGGGAAATGGACTGAACAAAAAACTTAACGCCACTACAAAATGTCCAATGTAAGAATTTGAGTTTAAACCAAGATTAGACTAGTTATTTAAGTTATAAATAGGGTTGCTATAAATTTAAAGGGTCGAAACCGAGGTCTGAGGTTGAGGTGGACAGCAGCACCGGGGTGGCAATTTGGTTTACTTTAATTTCAAATCATATAGAATGCTGGGGATGGGCGCGCAACTTTGTTCGCCCCACTTACTCAAGTGTTACAG